AGTTCTAAGGAAGCATTTTTCTCATACCTGATGCTTGCTTTAATAGCTTCAAATGTGAAGCATTCCCTTCAATGGGAGATCGAGACACCGTGCCCCTGCAGGTGGGCGCGGGCACGCTCGACGCGACCGGTCTACGACACGGCGTGATGCGCACCGCAAGTGGTTAGCACGTCTTTGCATGTGCGCACTCTCCGTTTCTGTAGTCGGTGAAATGTGGTGGAGTTTGGAGATCAGAAAATATCAAGAGGAGAGGGGGACTAGCAAAATTTTGGCTGAGTTACGAAAGCACTGAAAAAGCCAAAAACTATATCAGGTTACCATCACAAACCTCACCCATTTTTGGCGAAATAGCTTCAATGGATCATGTGATAAAAGGTAAGCGAACATAAAATAAAATCGTATAAAAGCTTAACAATGAGTGAAAACAAGTCACACGTTAGTACCCTACCACTCAATTGTCAGTTCCTGATACTCAGCGCACCGTATCCTCTTCCTCCGCGTGATGGCAGAGGACAAACCGGCGAGAGGACAGTCCTCGGTTCTTCACCCCTGGTGACGACGACTGTCAGGGGCGCACGTTAGGGGGACACTGCCGCCACGGGCGCACGTTAGGGGGACACTGCCGTCACGGGCGCACGTTAGGAGGACACTGCCGCCACGGGCGCACGTTAGGAGGACACTGCCGCCACGGGCGCACGTTAGGAGGACACTGCCGTCACGGGCGCACGTCACGAGGACACTGCCGCCACGGGCGCACGTTAGGAGGACACTGCCGCCACGGGCGCACGTTAGGAGGACACTGCCGCCACGGGCGCTCGTTAGGAGGACACTGCCGTCACGGGCGCGCGTCACGAGGACACTGCCGTCGCGGGCACACGTTAGGAGGACACTGCCGCCATGGGCGCACGTTAGGAGGACACTGCCGCCACGGGCGCACGTTAGGAGGACACTGCCGCCACGGGCGCACGTTAGGAGGACACTGCCGCCACGGGCGCACGTTAGGAGGACACTGCCGCCATGGGCGCACGTTAGGAGGACACTGCCGCCACGGGCGCACGTTAGGAGGACACTGCCGTCACGGGCGCGCGTCACGAGGACACTGCCGTCGCGGGCACACGTTAGGAGGACACTGCCGTCACGGGCGCGCGTCACGAGGACACTGCCGTCGCGGGCACACGTTAGGAGGACACTGCCGCCATGGGCGCACGTTAGGAGGACACTGCCGCCACGGGCGCACGTTAGGAGGACACTGCCGCCATGGGCGCACGTTAGGAGGACACTGCCGCCACGGGCGCACGTTAGGAGGACACTGCCGCCACGGGCGCACGTCACGAGGACGCCACCACGGGCGCACGTTAGGAGGACACTGCCGCCACGGGCGCACGTTAGGAGGACACTGCCGCCACGGGCGCACGTTAGGAGGACACTGCCGCCACGGGCGCACGTCACGAGGACACTGCCGCCACGGGCGCACGTTAGGAGGACACTGCCGCCACGGGCGCACGTTAGGAGGACACTGCCGCCACGGGCGCACGTTAGGAGGACACTGCCGCCACGGGCGCACGTTAGGAGGACACTGCCGCCACGGGCGCACGTTAGGAGGACACTGCCGTCACGGGCGCACGTTAGGAGGACACTGCCGCCATGGGCGCACGTTAGGAGGACACTGCCGCCACGGGCGCACGTTAGGAGGACACTGCCGCCACGGGCGCACGTTAGGGGGACACTGCCGTCACGGGCGCACGTTAGGAGGACACTGCCGTCACGGGCGCACGTCACGAGGACACTGCCGTCACGGGCGCACGTTAGGAGGACACTGCCGTCACGGGCGCGCGTCACGAGGACACTGCCGTCACGGGCGCGCGTCACGAGGACACTGCCGTCACGGGCGCGCGTCACGTGAACACTGCCCCGCGGCGCTCTGCGCAGCAGCAGTCCGCTGTCGGCCGCCAGCCGCGATAGCCTCATCGCCGGCGCGCACTGGTAGGCGGGGTGTTTGTTTCGGTTTCGGAAGCGCGAGGTCTTGCCGGTCGGATCGGGCACTCGGATTCATTCGACCGCGGCCGCGTGACCGCGTGAAACGCTGCGTAGTTCCCGGGGTGTTTTCGGTGGAGCAGTGTGTTTAAAGAGCAGCGTGCTCTGTCGGGTTCGGCCGTCGGGGCTGTGCGCCCCGGGACAAGTAGGGAGAGGGGGGAACGCGTTGGGGAAGGGGGGGGGGGGCATGTCACCGTCAGTCGGGGCCATATGGCCGGGTATTGATCGCCGTTAGCCTGCGATGATACTTAACCTCAGTTTGAACCAAGCTGAATGTACAAAAATATAGGTCTTATTTTACGATAAAAAATGACGCATTTGAAATCGTTCAAGGCATGCAAGCTCAAAACAATAACAGATTATACTAATCCGTCACTTTGCTTTGGAGTCAAACATAATGTGATCAAAGCAACAGCAAAGGCGCGCAATGCGTTGGCAGCCAGAAGATTGATCCCGCTTGTATATAACCTGATGTGGGACGTGGTGGTAGCTGTCAAAGAAGAATAACTTTTCTGCAGCTACCTCCACTGGGCTCTCAACAGTTCCGTTCGGTATTCACTGCACAGATAGCGTCTTCCCATTGCCAAGCATTCTCCGGTGTAAAATGCTGACACACTGACATAGCGATGACTCAGCGCACTTACAAGTCACACACATTGCAAGTCATCACAATTCACGGCCTAGGCAACGCTCCAGGAATAGCTACGCTTATCTTGCAACTTTGAGCACTGCAGCACGCATTCGAGCATTTGCCAGAGCGAACAGGTGATAGTGGCAGTGATATTGTACGCAGGTTTGATCTTGCTGCGACCGTTTCGCATTCTGTATCGTGCTCTGCTGGCACTTAACATTTTGGACGGTGCAAATGAAGAGGAATTATTCGTTTCGAGTGCTCATTACTTCCTCGTCAAGTGCGGCGCACGACAATCGACATTCCTGAAGTGATAGAAATGAACTTTTCTGTTCACTACCAAAGTAAGTAAAAACTACACTTAAGTAATGACAACCTAACCCTTTAGATACGAAGTAAGCAGTGGGCTAGTTTGACGTCTTCCCTTCTTTGTACTTTTTAATGCTTAAAAGAGGCGTTTCACATGTGCATTAATTTTTACTGAGATAAACATTTTGACGACCATTCAGCGCTGCTCAAAGGCCTGCCGGTTTTTATATCTAAAACCCTAATTTCTGGACTGCACGCCCGGGAAGATATGCAAACTATTCTGTGCAGGCTATTTCAATGTCATTCAGACATGCGAGACACCACATAAACGTCATTCCAATCATGGCACCTCGTAGGTCATGTGCCGTTCAAGGCCAAGAAGAATATTACCGTCGAACCGTTCATACCCGGCGTTCCTGAGCACGATTTCCAGATAAAAGTACGTCAGTTGGCTGTGAATCACTGCTGAGCAGGCTGTTCATGTTTCAATTACGAATTACGTTTTGTTATTCATAAGATAAGGAGTTGAACATGGTTGTTGGCTTTTACGGAAATGAGACTTGTAATCGAATAAGTTAGCATAGCGCTAAAACCTAGCATGTGAATGTAATTAAAGTCATTAAACTCTCGCATAGATATGCAAGAATACCACGAGAAGCGGCCAAAGCACGAGTACATACAGATATTTGGTTCAGCAAACACTTCCACCATCGCCATGTCCACCTCGCAGGAGATTAAAGTGCTACAAGTGAGTGCCAGGGTGGCAATGTCGCACAGCTAGTTTAGCAGCAACCCATACGACCGTTCCAGAGCGGCATTAAGCAATGACGCATTAAGGAGCATGTTTCCTAAATAGGGAAATTGTGTTGTCTGGAGCAGTTCTTCCACTTAAAGGTACACCTGTATTTATAAAAAAGCTTATGACATCATCTCTGATGCCTGCTTCATTACTTTCACATATAGACCATTCCCATTATGACCACCGAAGCGTTAAAAATCGCTTCGCCAGTTCACACTTCGAACGCAATCAGAAAAGAAGGAAAGGCGGTAACGCATGCTTAGCATCGATTTTGATGGCTTGTATGAGAGCCATTTCGGTCAGCAACGACCGCCTCCCGGTCGCATCGGTAGAGGGGTAAGCAGGGAGAACACGCATCTGGGGATCACTCGCAGCCGGGACTTACCTCACACACAAACCCTCTTCGGGGTTCGCGCGCTCTCAGGTACGACCTCCGCAGGAAGGGGAAAGCGGACTTGCCCATCTCAAGGCTGATGCGTGCAATTTACCCTGGATGGACGCGCTGGCAGGGAGGCTAAAGATGAGGCGTGCATGAGGGAAGGGATGTTTTGCACTAACCCGCAATGGTATGGGCACGCCAAACCCGTGGCGCCATTAGCGCAAGACCCGTGGGTAAAGCCTGCACGCGCATCAGCGTCTCGCAGGAGAGCCTTAAACGCAGAACTGAGTGACCTGACTCAGCCTTGCAGCAGGCTGCTGTTGGCCGTGCTTCTGGCGATCTAGCGGGGGTGGTGTTTCGGAGCCCCCCAGGGCGTAGGGGCGCGCCGCAGCCGGCAGAACTGTCGTATATGAGGTTTACAGCAATGGCCAGGCATTTGGCCGCGTTCTGCCCGCGGCTGCTCCCAAGCCGATGCTAACCTAATGTGATGCATTAGAAGCGCCCGCGGCAGTGTTGTGGAGAGCCGGATGATATAAAGGCGCGTTTTAGAACGCGCTGGATGCATTCCAAGCATGTAAAAATGTCGGAGGAGCGAGAGGGAGAGAGAAAGAGAGGCGGGGAGGGAGAGAGAGAGGAAAAGGGATAGGATGAAAGGGAGAGAGAGAGAGAGAGAGAGAGAGAGAGAGAGAGAGAGAGAGAGAGAGAGAGAGAGAGAGAGAGAGAGAGAGAGAGAGAGAGGGAGAGAGGAGAGATGATAAAAGACAGAATATATATGTATTTATTTATTCATATATATATATATATATATATATATATATATATATATATATATATGTACAAAAATGGGATCGAGAGGCGTCTAGGCTTTTTGTACAAAACAACTGTAATACACACCGTAAAAGAAACTGTGATCGCATCACCTTGCATTCGCAAACATCAGTTATACGTCGTCATGTTGCTACTAGGTCGTCGTTGATCCTACCCATTTACCTCACAAAACCTATAAAAATACGGGCATGCATGCTCCCATCGATGACCATCCTCCCGTGGCGGTAGCAAAGCACACCATCCAAACTGCTCCGCGGCGATCGAGTGGAATGGTTACAAACCAGCACTCCACATTCATCTGGTCGTCCCTTAACCTCACCACACCCCATCGGTTCGTACACCAGCTGCGCTGCTGCTGAGCCTCCACCCATCGACCCGTGTCTCTCTTGTGCAAACACTTTCATGCTGAGCACCGCTGTTCAGCCAGCAGCTGTACTGCAATGCGCTATAGCCTCGGGGGCGGAGCTGGCCGGTCGCGCAGACGATCTGTAGCAGAGGCCTCCCCGCCCCACGCACGTCTCGCTAGTGCACAAACTCGCGACGGAGGTGTTTGGTGCCCCGCTCGAGCCTGTCCCAGACATCACGGCCGGTGCGCACCAGCAGCAGCTTGTAGCTGAGGTAGACGGGCCGCTCGACCCCTGGGAACAGGTACTGCTGCAGCGGGCCGTCGTCCAGATTCGGTTCCGAGCGCACCACGCGAAAGCCCAGCTCGTGGAAGATCTGGAGCACAGAGTCATACACGTCAAATAGCAGTAGGTTTGAGAACTGCTCCAGGTCCTTGGGCAGGTGCACGCTGAGGCAGATCTGCTGCACTTGGTCCAGCGCGAGGCGGCCCTCGTCGGTGTCCAGCAGCTGCTGCACCAGCATGTACACCTCGCCGAAGTCGATGTCCACCTTGAGGAAGTTGATGGTGCGCTCAGCGTGACCGTTGTCGTCCACCAAGGCGTCGAACGTGCGCCACTCGCGGCCGTCCATTGTGCCGTCGAGCCTGTGCACCGCCGCCAGGTAGAAGGTGACGCCGGGGATCATCCGCGCCACCTTCGCCGGTCGCACCGGGTCGAAGGCGTGCACCTCGCAGCCGCGGCCGGCCATCGCGCGCTCAAACTCCATCTCGGGCCCGACGCCGAGAGAGTACACCAGGCAGCCGGGCCCGGCCGTCACGGTGCGGCTGGGGTCCACGCACACGGGCACGCGGCCGCGAGAGGCGTTGGTGCGCGGGTCGAGTCGCCCGCCCAGCTCCAGCACAGGCTCGCACGCCGCCGTCGGAGTCTCCAGCCAGTCGAACACGGAGCGGAACACCTCGTAGTCCTTGTCATACAGCAGGGCCGTCTCCTTTTCCACGCTGCCCCTGCGGGCGCGCCGATGATGAGGGGTTAGTGATCGGACGCGACCCAAGACAGTCTGAGGGCGAGCAGTGCGAGTTGGGAGAATTGAGCACTGGAATGAAAGACGTGATTTCCAGGCGTGCGGATGTCTCAGATGCGACGTGCGATCCTAACGAATGGTGACTTCAATTTTGACATAGCGAGACTGTAATGATTTCCTATGACACTCTTTTGTAGCACGCGATAAAATCAAGGGTGCCTTCGAATAGCTCAGAAAATTGTGACCATCACAGCTCAAACATTTGCAGCCGCTGTAAGAAACCAGCAAACCCCTTGAAACCTAGCGTAGAAATCGGGCGTGACAGCCTATCGCAATGAGACCTAGCCAGGACGGACAAGACTTAATCAAGCTTATTAACCCTATGTGCACTTACGCATTGGAATGTTGGAATGTTTGAATGTGGAATGAATGTTACGCGTTGAAATGTGCCAGAGCCAGACTGTGGCCAGAGACAAGGCCAGTGTGTGCTCCGAGGGACAACTCCTGGGACGTCGCAAGGTTCCCGGCGGCACGTCGACTCCATCGTTTCGACTGCGTCGCCCCCAAGCCTTGGTGACCAGATTACCAGGGTGCCCCACCTCAGGTCATTAATAGGCTCGCGCAAAGGAGTGTCACTTCCCAAAATTGGTTGAGGGGGGGGGGGCTTAACCAAAAGGTTTGACCTAACATACCCCCAAAACCTGAACTTGCATTTGCGTTGCCGTCGGATTGATTTTCAAGTTACCCGATCTTCCTTAGTTTTACCTTTCGGAATGCCCTAATGACCAATTTTCCGGACTACTAATTACCTAGATTTTCTACAAACTAAATGAATGCGTCATTTTTGCCCAAGTTTTGCCATTTTGGCGAGCCATGAGTCGGTTAGCGCCCCTGGATCCGTCCCTGCATAGGCGGTGAAAAGGGCCTCCGGGCTGGAACGACTCCCCAATGTTGCGACTTGGTCCCTAGGGAGAAATCCTGGCATGCCAGTGGTGATCATGCTGTTTCCCCACGTGAAGACATCTTGAAATTATGTTACTTATACGGACGGCTGAAACCCAATGGTGCCAGATGAATCTAAAGCCACAAGCGAAACGCGGATTATTGTTGTCATCTGACAATGCGTAGTGTCAGGATGACCGAGATGTCCAGTGCGCTGCGTTCAGGTCGCTGTCCGGTTCTCCAGGCGTGGGTTCAAATCACACTTCTGACAGGACTTTTCGGCATTGAGCGCTTCCGTTTCCATTTATCCCACATAGTCAGCAGACCACTTACTCCACTATATCTCATAAGGCATTCAAACAGTTACGCGTTACTCATCGGATTTCTCCCCACGTGACTACAAAATTTAGGCCGAGCGGGTGTTCCAGGTCTCTCACCAGGTTAACATGTTTCTTGGCCATGGATGCCACTCTCTAAAATCGATTGGAGAGGCTCAGCCAAAAAAGTAGGCCCAACGTGCCCCCCCCCCCAAACCTGATTTCTCCCCGGATTTTGGCCGCTTGAATTTGTATCCTCGCCATATAAATTAAAAGATATGGGTCGTAGGTTAAAGCTTGTTTTCCAGTGAAGGAGTATGGTGACTTTTGTGGAAAGATTAGAATGAGGGGTAATTCGCAGAAAAAACATCTTAATAACTTTTAGTAAGGGATCACTGATAGCTACCATTGTTGCTGATCGTGTTGTACAACCACCGCAACCACGATTACGCGACAAATACACACGCCACTGTTGGCAAAAATATATGTTAATTCTTATCTGGGCAACTCTGCGCCATTAAAAAAGTGTCCAACCTTTGAGGCGTGTTAAGAAAATAAACATAGTCTAGTGAAACCTGGGGACCAGTTGCGCCTGACAATAGCACTGGACAGTGCCAGCGCAGCACCATCAAAACATAAAAAGATAGATGTAGCTTGCATCATGTTGTGTTTGATCTCACGGCGCTCATTATTGTTGCGATATTGACATAATTATTGACATTGGGATAGGCATAACCCTGCGATATTTTTTTAGCTGGCAAGCAAACACGACCTGAGTTGTAGTGTTCCAAATATTTCATCAATATAAGAAATTTAAGCCATCAATCAAACAAAGCACAATATGCGAGCAAACTACGGGCTACGAAATTACGAATTCAGTGCTTTGGTGGAAGTGACGCGTACTTACAATTGGTATTTCTACACAGCGGGATTTCTTATTTGGCAGGCTGGTTGACTCGCTTTAGGACGTTACGTAAGCGCACTATGCCCAGGTTAACACATGACTGCAGCCTCACGTGAAGACAGGGATGGCGTTGCTGTACATCCAGCGGCGGCGGGTCCTGCCGATGACTGCTCTGCTGGCGGGGAGAACGAGGCAGACCATCAGAGCGATGCCCGCCAGCGCGGCGGCCACCTGCCTCGTCCAGCGCACGGCTAAAACCCGCGACACTGAAACACACCGGTCAGGCACTGAGACCCGGCACAGGGGACATTGAAACACAGCGCCGTCGCCCCTCTGTGCCAAAATCTGGTGCAGCCGGCTACTAAACCCAGCACCGCGGGCGCTGAAATGCGATGCAACTCTGCTGGACATCGAAACTAAGTGCGACCGGTATCGGAACACGACATAACAGACGCTGGACTGAGCGCAATGGCTGCTGAGACGCAGACTTGTCCAGCGACGAGAGCTCGTAAGCCGATTCGAGAGATTCGAATAGACTGGATTAGGTTCAATAGGTTCGAGAAGATTCGAATAGATTCGAATACATTCGAGTGTATTCTAATTCTAAGAACCCTCAAACCCTTAAAACGAGGATCTCATTCCTAAAAACCAGGGTTCGAGTCCTCAAAGTCACGCCAAATTCTGAATGTCATCATTCAGTTCTCGTCCCATGGCAGGCTTTTTAACCTGCGCCCCATGAGGGCACTTACAGACCCGTAATATATCGGAAACTAAGCAAACTGGAGTCACAGCATAGAGTAGCTATCATCAATCTGCATCAGATAGGAGTAACTTAATATTTTTAAACGTGACGGTTGATAGGTTAAATCAGATTACAGGTGTCAAATTAGCGCGTTATATACTCCTCCTGCTGTCTCAGGAACTCAGCATGCTACGGCAATGTGGAAAGCTCCAATGACCACCTCGCGCAAAACAACTTTTCGGATCAGCACTATTGGACATAAACAAATGTGACCTTTTATGTGTCATGTCAGGTTAAAAGGTGAAAACTTTCGCTGCATTGACACGGCCGGCCTTATAACAAAGCTAAACAAGCCATAGTAAGACAAGGGATAAGAAGCTAGTTGTAGAGCATTACCACACATATGCCAGCCTGCCCACTCGTTGCCAGCCTCTGAAAGTGTCTTGAGCCCGGCAGGACTAGCACTGAGGCTGGCGTTGACGTATTGCAGTGGGTATGGAAGGCCGTCCGCCGTGGTCAGCGGACGACCAGTTTTCGTCACGCGTCGCGCGCCTCTGCCGGCCGGGCGGATACACGTGGCGTACTCTGCCATCTAGTGAGCGACTTGAAGATGGTGATTGGCGGGGTTCCCACCAGATGGCAGCTGACCGCTCAGGCGACAGCCCAGAGTCGCGGCCAGCACCGTCAGTCGCGCGGTCGGGCAACTACTGTGAAGCATGATGCTCGCGGTGCCAGTGTGGCCTCAGTGTGCTGGGGTCGTGTGCGCGTGGAACGACGCCGGGTCCTGGTACGGCAGCAGCATCTTCAGCTGTCAGTCCCACTTAAATGGAAATGCAATACATCTTGGTATCCCGAGATGCAGGTCTTCTGCACACATCCAGATTGATTTAGGTGAGCTCCATGAACAAGCCGCAAGATGAAAATGGAGTACTCCAAAACAGATATTGTGCCTTTCCGAGCAGCAATTTTGCGTGCGTCCGTTATCTCCAGTCGCATGGCGTCGAACGTTATCTTCAGCACGTAGGGCACGTTCGTTCGGTCGAGCTGCCCTCTGCAACCAACGGAGCAAGACCACGGCACCTCACCGTCACAGAGTTGGAGACATGCTCGGCAGAGATCCCGCCCAGTGGTACCGACGTTGGCACTGGCGGATGACAGCGTCGGGTGGCACTGGCCTGTCGCGTAGCGCACCGCCATCCAAGACGCCGAGAAGTCGGCCAACGCTACGCGAATCAAGGCCGATGTGGACGTGGTAGGAGTGGACGTCTCGCAATCCATTCCACATAAACATCTTCGCCGATACTGCTGCCACCTGCTGCCACCATGTCGCGGCACATGTCGGTCGACGGTCCATGAGGTCTACATTCACCTGCACACGCAACCTGAACAAGGTATGTATTAATATGCACATTCCCGCTAAGATTAGCGGCCCCAAACGTCTCAAGCCACTTCTACATCATACTGGACAGACGCTGATCCAGGGCAATACCGGGCGTGGCACCAAAAGGGTTGCCCCTCCAGAAATACTTGACGCTTATGGTAGCTGCTGGCGTCAATGCAGATCAAGAGTGTCATGTTGTGGCTAAAATCGATGGGTTGGGGGGGGGGGGGCTGAGCCGATAACGTTGACCTAACCTTCCTCAATAGCCTGATTTCTCTCCGGATGGTGACCACTCAAAAATTTAGGTAACCAATGTCAAACTAAGGAAATATCTTCGAAAACATGTTACGTTTATTCCAAAACTGTGTTGCTGGCGAGTGCAAGTGACTTGTATGCTGAAAAGAATGACTTCATTTTAAGCCGATAAAGCTGCATTTTTGGGATAAGTTTAGAATGAGGGATTTGGGATAAGCTTCGATAAGCTTTCTGGGATAAGGTCAGAATTCACATATTTTTTTTTAGCAAATCGACCAGTTGTAAGCAACGACAACAGGTGATGCTATTTGTTCATCAAAGGTGAGTCGCAAAAGACGGCATTAAATAGGTGGCTGGGGTACCGACAAGAAGCTGTCGTACAGAAAAGACAAGAACAGACAAGACGCTTTCGAAAAAGTCACAGACGCTGGCAAGACGTAACTATCCAAAAAGGAGAATGAATTTGCGCGACCTGCTCAACAGACATATGCATAACTGAAAGCACAGAGAAAGCACAGGCTTTCGATGAAACTGTTTGTGCCATACAGAGTGATTCTGTAAAAATTAACACAGTCAACGCTTTTCTCGTTTTGGAAGTTGAAATAAGCAAGAAAAGCCTTGAGCTCTCATGTTTAAAATAAACGACCTTCAGTATACCAGGCGGTTGCGCGGTTAAACAAAGCTATAAAAAAGCGTAGGCTGCTTTCAAAAAACTCGGTGTTTGGCAACTGCGGTCTTGGTGAGAGTTCTTCGCAACAATAATTTTCACCACCCCAATATGTCCTTCACACTGCACAAAAGGTGTTCACTTCACTCTTCGACACCCTTTCTTATGGTACATCCAGCTGGAAGATATACCGCCGAACTTGAATTCAAGCCGTTCCGTCCAGAGACGTGGCTTAAGTCCGTACCGATTACTCCTTTGAGTGCTGGAGGTCTCACCTTCCGATTCACCCACCAGAGATGGGGTCGGTTCGAGCCGGTTTTAGCGCTTGCTATTTATCCCTGGTTGGGGTAGCATGCGGTCTGTGGCAGCAGCCGCGCGTACGGTCGGGTAATGTCAGAGGACAGGGTGGATCGTGCCGATCATAGAGGTACGTTGAGATATGGGCGCAAGATTCTGTCGTTGACCTGAAACTTCAAAATCGAATAGCTGGGTCAGGGCTCACACGCCACGCACCGCTGAGCGTTGGCGCTCATCCCAAGTGTTTACTGAATCAAAAGACTTGTACTAAATTAAAAACGCCCGATATAACAAACTGCAATTCGGCACAAGCCATGCCTGCTATGAAAACAGCCATAACATCACAAATGCTTGTGAAATCAGTAGCATGGTAAAAAACCGACCAAGGAACTAACCTCGATGAACTCATAAACCCCAACAATTTCAAGTGAGGATGCGTGAAACGGATTATAAATTGCGTATGTGGACGGTTCGGTCACTAGAAGTCCTTCACCCGCTGCTGGCACCTCGGCTGGCCGCAGAGCGCGCCCCGCACCGGGCCGCTGGCCGGCCGGCCGCGTCAGCGGCACATGCCTGATGGGCTGGACGGCCGCCAGCGGACCCGCTCAAGGACACGGGGCGCCGAATTTTCACGGCCGTCTTTATTGTACAGCTGTGGCGGTGCGTAGTTGCGGTGTGATCTTGTGCGGCGACTATGGCGTTTTGACGGCCAGAGCTTGCTGGGGTGAGCCTCGTTCCTCGCAGGCTCATCTCAAGGGAGGAAGTCGCGGTACCTGAACTAGCTTATCTAAGAATACATTTATTGCGGAGACACGAGGGTGAGAGAGGGAGAGAGGGGGGGGGGGGGGCGGGGGAAGGGCAGAAAATAGCATTTCAAATCACGCATTTCAAGTCAGTCAAAAGCCATAGTCGGACTACAGACCAAGTACAGACTTTCTCAAATTAAGCAGTGGAAACGGAAAAGTATGATCCCGATAGTTGATAGTAAGTATGAGTTGATGATAGTTTTTTGATATGTTATGAAAGTATGATAGTTTCTAGTTTAAGATTAAATACACAGTCTGTATGCTGCAATGCATTTAAACAGCGAGCAGTAGCACAGCAGAGCAGCAGCGGAACAGTAGAGTAGTAGAACCTGTCGAAGCGTACCTGATCTGCCGCATATTTGAGAACTCCAACAACCCGTCCATGCCTTACTCGGTGCCAGGTGACCTATGCACCGGGCGACCTTGACGAAGCAACCCTGACGAGACCCGACGTACAGCGCGCGGCCAAGCGGCCGGCAGTCCTCTGGCTGACTGCTGCGGGGCGGCCGGCGGCAGCCGGCTTTCACCAGTGCACGTGCCCGCCGGCGTCCGACGCCCCGCATTCCGGCGCGTGCACCACTCGGCCACCGACGCCACCCTGCCGCGCTGGTCATCGCGTCCACCGGACCAGCATGGACAACCAGGGCTTCGTGACCGGTGAGGACGATAGCAAGACGAACGGGGGCGGCACAGGATCGCCGGACGCGCCGCCCGTGCGCATGCCGCGCACCGTGGGCGCCGCCTCCGGCACGGCCATCATCGTCGGCACCATGATCGGCTCCGGCATCTTCGTGTCGCCCAAAGGCATCTTGGAGGGAAGCGGCTCGGTGGCGCTCTCGCTGCTGGTGTGGTTTGGCTGCGGCGTGCTCTCCATGTTGGGCGCGCTCTGCTACATCGAGCTGGGTCTGCTGATCCCGGAGTCGGGCGCCGAGTTCACCTACTTGTTCCACGGGCTTGGCCCGCTGCACCGCTTTCTCGGCCCGCTCCCTGCCTTCCTGCAGTCTTGGTCAACCAACCTCCTCACACTTCCAGCGTCCACGGCCGTCCTCAGCCTGGCGTTCGCAGAGTACTGCATCCAGCCGTTCTACGCCAGACCGTGCGCGCCACCGCCGATGGCCGTCCCGCTGCTGGCCGTGATCACGTGCTGCCTGGTGACGTTCACCAACTGCTACAGCGTCACCTGGGCTACACGGGCGCAGAACTTTTTCACGGTGTCGAAGCTCGCTGCCATAGGCCTCATCATAGCAGCCGGCGTCTACTCGCTGGCTCAAGGCAACAGCCAGTACCTGGCCACCGGCTTCCAGGGCAGCACATCTTCTGCCGGCGATGTCGCCACGGCGTTCTACGGCGGACTCTGGGCGTATGACGGTTGGAACAACCTTAACTGTCTCACCGAAGAGATCGTGGAGCCGGCTCGAAACCTGCCGCTGGCCATCCTCATCGCGCTGCCGCTCGTTACCGTCTGCTACATCTTGACTAACGTGGCCTACCTGTCGGTGCTGTCGCCACAGCAGCTGCTGGACTCGCCGGCCGTCGCCGCCTCCTTCGCCGAGGGTGTGCTGGGTCCAGCCGCCTTCCTGATTCCAGTGGGCGTGGCGCTGTCTGTGTGCGGCGCCCTCAATGGCACCATCCTCAGCACGGCCCGCCGCTGCCTCGCCTCCGCTCGCCAGGGCCACTTGGTCGACGTGCTGAGCTTCATCCACGTGCGTCGGCTGACACCGACCCCGGCGGCCATGTTCAACTGTGGCATCGCCGTCATTATGATCGCCGTCGGCAACATCGATAGCCTGATTGGCCTCTTCAGCTTCTGCGCCTGGATTTTCTACGGTCTGGTAGTGCTGACGCTGATCATCCTGAGGTCGACCCGGCCAGACGCCAAGCGGGCGTTCCGCGTGCCCATCTGGATCCCATGGCTGGTGCTGCTCATGTCCTGCTACCTGGTGGTGGGACCGATAGTGGACAGGCCGCAATACGAATACTTCTACGTCATCGCCTTCCTGCTGGTCGGCGTGCTCGTGTACGTCCCATGTGTGTACTGCAAGTGGAGGCCTAATGGAATGGGGAGCGTGACTTCCTGCCTTCAGAAGACTCTGGAGCTGGTGCCTGCCTCATAGCAGGGATCCGGCGTGTGTGATATGATGCCGGGAGGGATTCATGTGGTACAATTTACAGGATGTCCAAACATACAGAATATCTGCGGTACAGAATGTTCAAGGTGCAGAATATATATATATATATATATATATATATATATATATATATACTTCATAATGTCTAAGGCGAAGCACATCCCGAATTTGAGGTGACTTCCAAAATGGTTGACAGTGCAGGTGTTGATAATGCCCAAAGCAGACGGTGTCCAAAGTGCACCATGTCGAAATTACACCATGCTCAAAATACATTATGTTCAAGGCGCAAAATGTCCCAAAGTCATAATGCCCTGAGCAGAATGTCCGATGCTCGGAGTGTCCAATTGTGTTTCTGGGGCGACCGCCAGAGTGCGAATTATCGCCCCTATTGACTGACAGTAGCTTTCCCTGAAACCTCCGCCGCTCACGTTTTGTTGGCACTCGGCGCGCGGTCCGCTGTCTGCCGCCAGCCGGTGACGTGAGTGGTAGCGAGAGTGATGTAGGAAGTCATTCGTCCAATGAGAGCGCGGCTGGTGATGGCAGCGATGTCGCCAGGGCGACTTGACGGAAAGTTGGGTTGAGCCAGAAAGATGCTGTGCATGGGCAAAAACCTTGCTCGGGTTTTCACCAGCTGCTCTACTCTGTGCACGGTGTTCTGCTCTGCACCGACTAGTTTTCTGTTCCGTATATGGCAATGACGTCACTAGCGCCGAGACTTCAATACGGTGCGACCGCTAGCCGTGGGGTGTAACACTGCGGGCAGATGACACCGGTAGGTGCATATGGTAACCCCGGTAACACCGGTAGGTGCATATGACCAGCCTGCCGATTGCGTACAATTTAATGGGGAATATGATGTGCTTTGCAAGCACATTCTGCTCACCATTTAAAAGAGCATGAAAAATGAAAACGCACCCAAGAAAATCATACGAGGTGGAACGCACGAATACCTTGGTACCCGTACCTTGTGTACCTTGTACCTCGCATATTACCTTGGACATTATGCTCACTGGATATTTCGTACCCTGGACATTTTTTACTTCGGGAATTGTGCCCGTGAGACACCGCTTACTCCGGGTTTTCCATACCTTGGACATTAAGTACTTTGTGCGTTATGTACCTTATACATTACTAACTTTGAATATTCTGCACATGGACCATTTTACACTTTGGTCATTGTGAGCTTTGGACATTTCGCACATTAAACATTCTGTAGTTTGGACATTCTGTACCCTTGACAATGTGATACGAATGCGACGTGGCAGGTCCAAGAGCAGTTTTCTATGTGTTTTGCATGTCGGCATTAGCAGTAGTTCGGTAGTTCTATATTAGTAGAACTGCAGTATTAGTAGTTCTGCATTAGTAGTAGATTCAGGAGGAGAGGGGGGGGGGGACGACTTACTCTTCTGGAAGGAGACATGGACAGGAAAGTTATGCTTTTGCCCCCCCCCCCGCACCCACATAGTTTGCCGTAGAATAGCAGAGAAGTTCCATATCCTAAAACGTGTTTTGTCCATTGTTGCTGTCCTTTTGCTCTTGTTTGTTGTTGTTTTAGTAGCGGTCATAAACAAGGTTATGTTGTGATCAATTTTAAATGTGGGTTGAAATGCTGACAGAAATATATGAATTAATGGCCACTGTTACAAAATATACAGATCTGCAGCCAGGCACAAAACGTCGGCGCGAGCTAAAATCAATTGGACATTGACATGAGCAGGAATAAAGCACAGGTAAGACCACACCACGATTCGTTGAAACCGAAGAGGTGCGACCACTTTTGATGGCCCAAATAATAAATGCTTGTAATTCAGTATTGGGAAGTCACTGACTACGACTTTTGGAAAATGTAGTTACTTCCTAACAGACCAATAAAAGATCTCATCGTCTTGGCGTCTTTTGACACACAAGAAAGGCGGCGGCGAACTTTGATCTCCGTTGTTGTGCCCAGTGCCATGCTTATTCCTGAAACTCCTTGCATTTACCAGACTATGCAGTAGCCAGGCCCTGACTACCTGGAAGCATGCGATAAGTTACCAAAGTTTCACACAACATGTCAGGTAAGGAATCCACAATTCAACGTAGCTTCTGTATGACTCCCGTCCTCTGACGTAGAGCTAGTGAAGGCCTATTTGTTTGGCGCCCCGCATTCCTTTCACTTAAGGACGCACGGATAATGGTGAATCTGCCTGAAGATGAAGTCGGCTGCTCCCTCCGCTACCCCCGTTCCAGCCCCTCCAGGCTGAATTGCGCTGGCAACAGCGGACCTTTACCAGACCAGCTTGGGAGCTTTATACTGAGTCAATCCTCTCAGATCACCATCAAACACGGCTTTGTTCTCAAACGTGGACAGCTTTAGAAGAAAGCTAAAATGGTGTCTTTTTAAATATTGATGATAGTAATGACATGAAACGAAGTAATCGTTTTGCTTGGTTGATAACTTAACATTCATAGATCCAATGACGATTTCTTGTGTTCCCTTATATAGAAAATTTACAACATGTGTATTTAGATATGCAACGTTAATCTTCTATAATACACTGCATCTTATTCTAGTAACATTACACATTAGTACATCTTATGCTGTCCTTTTTTTGCAGTATCCTTCAAGGAGAAGATGCGCTGAAATTTCTTCTGAACAGAAATAGATGTAAACAGTCCTCAAACATTTGGATCCCTGGGCAGTACCGCATGTTTCAGTACCTAACTGATTTCACCGCACCCGTGCATCGATCGCATGAAAAAATGAGACAAACCCATTGACGCATTAGTATGTTTGTAGCTATGTATTTCGTTAAATCTCGTGTCACAGTGTACCACATAAAGGTGTTACAGGTAGTATGAAACAACCTGGAGTTTGCATGCTCCCTGAGGGTGCTGGAAAATTTGTAGGGTAAAGCGGACGAAAAACATTGCATCCATTTGCCACTGATATGGCAGTAATCAGGGAGCAGTAATCAGGAACGCTGCAAAGGAGAGGGCCATAGGTGGCCTCAGCTACTTCTGATAAAATAGCGTTTTTCTTGCATCAACATACATCGCGAATAAACGCCCACATCGAAAAAATAGCGATCGACCACGAACATAGTAAATCTAAAACACGCGATGCCATGTGACATGCGAAAAATTCACCGAAACTGCAAACGTTAATGCACTGGGTTCTTTTGATTTGCTGCGCGCGCTGCGCACGCCAAATTGAGCCCCGACTCCCTGATTAGTGGTTGCATGTGACGGGCGCGCGGTGCAGACAGCTCTGCTCGAATTTCTGTTTTCTGTACGGGGTTGCCCATTTGCGGGGGTCACTAATGGTGTTACCGGTTGCAAACTGTAATATTGTAATTTGGCCGTTTTATTTATGAGCAGCCTTTCAATGCCTTAAATAATGTTTTCATTTGGGCTTTAAAATAGTACACTCTGGAAAGAAAGAGATTTTGAGGATTTCGGAAGCGGTAATTGCAAGAAGTACATGGCAGAAGCCCCACAAACGTGGCCTGTGCCATCCAGACGCAGATGAATAAAGAAAAGGAGATTTGTGGCGATTGAATCACCATTCACCTTACGCACATGCGCACGCCCATGCTGTTTCTTTGCGTGTTGTGGTTACTCCTAGTCATGCCACTGCGCGCAGGCGCCTCGATTACAACCTACATCGCACCGTTTTTCACCAATTAACCTTTGCACGCGCGCAGTGCGTGCAGATAATGAGCGCATTATTTAATAATTGAGACACACACTGCTTTCAGTTATATGTCACTAGCTAATGCTATGATGACAACATGAGTGATGCATTACTAATTCCTTTGGCCACGCTTGATTCCCCGTCTTTTTTTAGCAGGTTTCACACTTCTTAGCTGGGAGTGCCGCAGCCTTGAACATTTCGGTCAGTTATGACGGTATTAACGCAAGCTTTTGTGTGCCGCGGTGAACTAGGGTGGGTACTCCTGATCACTTGTTAATGGGTGAAGTGCAGGCAGGAAAAAGAGACTTCCACCCAATAATGATGGTGTCCATCTTTAATCGTGCCTTGCGGTTTGGCAATGCTGTAATCATGCTGTATGACTACTGTGCTGCTCAACTATAGCGATATTCAACAAATGATGCAAAAATCCAAACTAAAACTGCCGTTCATCAACAACGAGTGACCTCGTGCACCCACTGAGCAGCACACATTTGGGGGGGGGGGGAGGGGCGGGCTAGCCCGTCGGGTTTTCGGCGCGAACGCCGCCAATCTCCTACTTAAATCGACGCCCTAGCCACATTGTCGTATTTGTAAACTTCCTTTTTGGAGTAGTATATCGCTTTTTCGCTTCGATTTATGAGTGACATTTTTGGCCTGTTCTGCTCTGCATTAGTTCGAGGTGTCGATCCAAGGGTTCGGATCTATTCCAATCCATCTGTGCCTCGATTAGGAATCCGAATACATTTGTTCTAGGATTCAAGTCTTCATTTGCTGTGAATGCTGGATACCATTGGTGACACATGGTCATAAACGACACTGGAATACCGCCGAAATTACACGTGGAATACGACCAGAACTGACCCCCAAGCACGACCAGCAGTCATAAAACACACCCAGCGGAGGCAACGTAAAGCACGAAACGACAGCTAGATTTGAAACAAGGCCGGTCCTGAGCTGGCCACGCGGCCTGAGCCATACCCTGCTCAGACGTCAGCAATGATCATATGATCGTATGATCATAGGCTAGGTTAGGTTAGGTAAGGCTAGGTCAGGAGCCGGAGATCACCTAGATCTGAAAAAGGCCAGTCCTGAGCTGGCCACGCGACTTGAGCCATACCCCTGCTCAGACGTCAGCAATGGGACAAATAAGGCCAGTGCTGAGCTGGCCACGCGGCCTGAGCCATACCCCTGCTCAGACGTCAGCAATGGGACAAATAAGGCCAGTGCTGGAGCTGGCCACGCCACATGAGCCATACCCTGCTCAGACGTCAGCAATTGGGACAAATAAGGCAGTGCTGAGTGGCCACGCGGCCTGAGACCATACCCCTGCTCAGACGTCAGCAATGGGACAAATAAGGCCAGTGCTGAGCTGGCCACGCGACCTGAGCCATACCCTGCTCAGACGGTCAGCAATGGGACAAATAAGGCCAGTGCTGAGCTGGCCACGCGACCTGAGCCATACCCTGCCTCAGACGTCAGCAATGGGACAATAAGGCCAGTGCTGAGCTTGGCCACGCGGCCTGAGCCATACCCCTGCTCAGACGTCAGTAATGGAACAAAGACCGATAGCGTGGAAAGGACGAGTCAAATTCGTAGATAACACGGCGTAAAACACGAGCTAGAGCAACTGGTCATCAGCCAAGTCAGAATCGATCACAGAGCTAGACAGACCACGCCAGTGGAACCGGAGATCAGCGCCGACGGACGCCGCCGGACCACTTTTAAGGTTCGTAATTGATCGCGCTGATGTCGCTGACAGCACGTGCGAGCGCGCTGTGCCACTCATCCGATCACAGGTGCATTTCGGCCAATGATCCAGTGCGATCTGACGGTCAATACGGACGATTCGCCGCAAGGGAATGCATCATGAGCGGGGAGGGGGGTCGCCTGCAATCAAACGGAGCACGACAGGTTTGGACATAGGTATTTGACACTGAGTGCGTATCACGCGCATGACTATGTGCTGTTGTTTAGTTGCCTTACCGTATCGCAAGGATCCCTTGGCGTCACATTTATCGATTAAGTTGCGAAGCCTTGGCAATACCGTGGCGGGAATCATGATGTTGAGTTGCTGCTACCTGGGAAAAAAGTGATTGTCATGTGTGCACGGGTGCCCACGTATCATGCTCATCTTTTACCGCTAACTGGTACAGGTTTAGACGGTCATGTTTACTCACTTGGCACAGTAAACCAAACTCGCCATTCTATTCCCAAAGGAAAATATGATTTGCCAGGCATCAGCATAGAAATCCGGTGCACAGAAGTGAGATAAGTCAGCTATCATCAAGCTTTTTCTATTTGAGCCATCTACAGTCCATGTTGACGGGACGAGACGTGTTCACATTCTGCCTGTAATCACTCCCATTGAGGTTAGTCGCTCGTCCGCACTAAATTTGCCTACCCTCCACTCTTTCTTTTGTCATGCGCCTCTTCACCTCTCGCACTTCCCATCTTCACCACTCGCACCTCATCCCTCCCTACGATCAATTCTCCTTTAAGCTCCCTTCTCCCCCACATGCCCTCTCCTTTTGACATCATCCCAGCCCCAGCCCCCACGCTGAACCACGCCCATACGGCACCCCCCCCCCAAAAAAAAACAAACACCGAACCCCACTACACCCACCTTCCGTTCACCGCTCCGCTGTTCACCTGCAGGCTGCTTTCTTCGACCACTCGCACTGCGCTGCCCTCCGCGCCGGCTGGTAAGGTAAGTCAGGGCCCGTGCGTCGACCGGGCTCCTGCCCACGTCTACCACCGGCCCGACCTTCGTCAGACGGCGGCGGCGCGGCGGCCGGGTGGATGACCTCTCCCCCCATCTGGGCGGACGCTCCTCCGCCGGCCACAGAGTGGCGGGCGGCGGGCAGTGCGGGGAGCGCTGAGGAGAGGGAGCGAGGAATGAGACCGCGCCGGACGCTGCGTTTACGCGGTGCGTGCGTTGATGACTGATGGGCTGCCACCGTGTTTAGGCTGAGCAGTTCAAGTGTGCTTCGGGGTCGTAACTTGTGGGGAGTCGGACAAACTTAACCAATCTAAGCCTCAATTTCTGCGTATTTCCGAACAGCCGAAGCGTTTTGTGACTGTCATGTTGAGGTTGATGGGAGGGGAGAGGTGGGGGAGACAAGCTGCCGCAGCTTGTCTCCGCAGTCTCCCATGGCATCGTCCATGTTGACAGCAATCATATCGTTGTATCTCTTCAATTTAAGAGTTTTGACTGCGTCTTATGATGCCAGGAACGTACATCGTCGGCGCAGTCGGCGATGTGCGTTATTCGAGTCATTTAATCCAATCGAGGCCAACACTCAGGTAAGTGGTTAAACCGCGCTCGCATACTGAGCGCGAGGTGACCGCATGTCCCAACGGCGAAGGGCGGCTGCAAGCTGCTATGATTCACCACGCCACTGCATGTACAAAAGAAATAACCTCACGCTTATTGAATAGCCTCCGGACGCTCACTGCAGGACAAGTCCATGTTACGAAAACGTCATCAGCATCCTCTACTACAGTTGTTGCCTGCCGTCTTTCAACCATCACTGAAATTGAGCAGCCAGTAAGGCTAGCTTAGACGTCGTGCGTGCGTGAGCAAAGTGAGCAAACGAACGAGAGCATCTGTGCTAGCGGAACCAAAATTCGAGCGCGCCTTGCTTGTTGACTTGCTTGTTTAGATGGGTTTCTAAATGCTTCCTTTCACTGCGCATAACATGGAGGTGTCCTGTACGGAGTAAATCCCGCAGACTGGAATAACACGGATGATCTCAGTATTATCCCAATTATGATCTCACTTCTATACCTATCATAAACTCTGGCATGACCTTCTCAGGTACAAAACACCTCTGACGTTATCTGGCCAAAGAGGGAGTAGGTGTCGTACTGTTTGACAGTCACTGCGCATTCGCAGCTGAAGTACAGAGCAGACCTGTGCGCGCAATTCTGCAGCTATTTCTTGGGCTCTCGCTTCACACCACTTATAGCGAAACCTTCGCTTTCGATGTCATGTTATGCTCAATGTGAATCTAACCCGAGTATTGTTGCTGTTGGTGAGATGCTGAAGCCTCTGAGCCAAACGTCACCTGGCTTGAAGGCCGCGCCGGTGTGTGTCGGCGGCGGAGGATCCCAGTCTTTAATCCCCCAGATTCAACATAATGCGGACAGCTGCGGTCTCCAGGCACGCCCATGGTGGGTGATATTCCTTGCACATCCGCAACGGCGAGCCTAATTCAGCTCTGCACGCGACAAAATTAATAAGGATAGTTTTCCTGATGTCATTGCCAAACAGCGGTATCAGCCAATGTTTATCTTAGGCACATTTATCCTTGATACAATAAAGAAAAGCGTTTAGCGTCTATTTCGGCATTATGAGCCAGCAGTTTTTATGTTGAACGTAAGCGACCTTCATTATATCGAGATACATTGATCAAGCGAAGTTTTTAGGCAGTGTCAGTTATACTGAGAAAAATTGACGTCTCAAAGCTGGCTTCTGCACTTCCTACCTGAACCAACTATCCTATAGTGATTGCATCTCATTCATTTTCTTGAAATTGTCATGACCATTACTGCATTGCCAAACACGTTTCATCACGCCATTAACGAGCCTTTGGGAGTGCTCAGAATGTGTCGTAAACAGGGGACTTTGATACTGTCTGTTGTGGAACCGTGCATTGGGAGCATCACGTAACGTGACGCGTGTGTGACCACCAAAGAGCACCAAAGGTGTGATGTCTAATTAAAAAAATGCTGAAACATGCCAGGAGGTGAACTTGTCCCGTGTATTTCCCAAGAGAAAGCAAGAACGCTTCCGCCATATCATGACGCCACTAAAATACTTTGCACCTCTTTCTATCTTTTAACACTTCCCTTTATCAGTTTCTAAATACGCCACTGCCTGTTTCCAATTGGAGTGTCGGAAATAATACCGCAGCCGCACCGCATCGGATTTCATGACCGATGAGTTCTGACTTCGTGGTGGCACCGGCCGCCCGAGGTCTGGTGTGCTGTCTAGCTTGCCAAGAGTGTCAAGCTCATGCAATTGAAAACCCAGTCTGGTGTATAAAAGATTGATGTTGAGTGGTGAGGGCTCTCCAGTTCCAGGGTATTTCTCCAACTGTCTGTCGCATGCTGCTATATTCAAGAAAGCCCAAGCGCCTCAACAACATTGGTATTATAGACGAAAAATAACGACAAAAAGAAGAAATAGATCAAAAAAGATTTCCAGGACAAGGAAAGCATGCATTATCGAGGTAAAGATCCTTGCAGACAGCGTCAGAGGAAAAAAGGTTGGGAATCCGTGACAAATTGTAACATTTTTGGTAAATATATTTATGAAAATGCATTTCAAGAACATGCAAACTCAGGTTCATTATTCGACAATTCAATTATAACACACGATCTTGACTAAAATTATTCATGCCGCGGCGATCTCGGTCCAACTAAGCCAGCTCCATGTAATGGATAAAACAACGGGTAAATCCGATACGATGGAGCGCTGCTGCTTTTGGCCCAACATGACAGGTCACACGTCCGAAAACAGTCGCGGAAGCTTTAAGGCACGCGGGATGAGTAATCTAGGAGAACTTTTGCTTTATTTTTCTTGTAAGACATGAAATATGCAAGACTGAATCTTTTGAATGGCCCAAGGGCAGGAAAACGAGAGCAGGAAAACATGAAAACACACATAATGCATCAAATCCCGACTAGCTATCGTCCATTCACATCATTTGTGATTACATTACAACTACAATATGGTCTGGAATATGAACATTGAGAGACCTCGGATGAGGATAGGATGAAGTAGGATAAAAAACTGGATAAAAAGTGAGAGCTCACTAGCTAACAAAACAACTTACGAAAATGTAATTCACGCTAAAAACTTGGCATCTGATTTCGTCAAGTCAAGTTTTACATCAGCGGCACGAAGTATACGCCATATATATATATGAGAACATACATGAGCATTAAGGTGTACTATGACTGTTCAGTTATAGTAGGTTTTCACGACTTCCGGGGATTTTAATCGGTTGGACAAGTAAACGAGTATGGATCATTAGAACACCTGTAGTGCTAATTGCAGAGTAAGTGGCATCATAAATGAACGTGTGTTCATACTTCATGCGGGCTAGAAGTTCACGGCGCTTTCCAAAATCAAAAGGAAGAATTTGTGAAAGTATACGTTTTTTAATCAGTTGACAGTGGAATGACCTATACATGACACGCTGCCATTGACGAGGACTAAGCGCAAGTTTACTTGGCTCGTAGTCTTGATTCACTCCATCGCATGGCGCAGTTGACCATCAAAGCCTCATCACTTGTCCTGCCCCGTGGTGTTCCGGAGATGATCGTCGTCGCTGTGCGGGGCCCTGGCAAGCGGAGAGTGTGGAACTGCGGGCCTCGGCTCGGGGTCTGACAGGCGTAGGGGCCTGGAACTGCGGGTCTCGGCGCGGGTCTGGCGGGCGGAGGGGCCTGGAACTGCGGGTCTCGGCGCGAGGTCTGACAGGCGTAGGGGCCTGGAACTGCGGGTCTCGGCACGAGGTCTGGCGGGCAGAGGGGCCTGGAACTGCGGGTCTCGGCTCGGGTCTGGCGGGCGGAGGGGCCTGGAACTGCGGGTCTCGGCTCGGGTCTGACAGGCGTAGGGGCCTGGAACTGCGGGCCTCGGCACGAGGTCTGGCGGGCAGAGGGGCCTGGAACTGCGGGCCTCGGCACGAGGTCTGGCGGGCAGAGGGGCCTGGAACTGCGGGTCTCGGCACGAGGTCTGGCGGGCAGAGGGGCCTGGAACTGCGGGTCTCGGCACGAGGTCTGGCGGGCAGAGGGGCCTGGAACTGCGTGCCTCGGCACGAGGTCTGGCGGGCAGAGGGGCCTGGAACTGCGGGTCTCGGCACGAGGTCTGGCGGGCAGAGGGGCCTGGAACTGCGGGTCTCGGCACGAGGTCTGGCGGGCAGAGGGGCCTGGAACTGCGTGCCTCGGCACGAGGTCTGGCGGGCAGAGGGGCCTGGAACTGCGGGTCTCGGCGCGAGATCTGGCGGGCAGAGGGGCCTGGAACTGCGGGTCTCGGCACGAGGTCTGGCGGGCAGAGGGGCCTGGAACTGCAGGTCTCGGCGCGAGGTCTGGCGGGCAGAGGGGCCTGGAACTGCGGGCATGGGCGCGCGGCCCAACCCAGACGCCTCAAAGTCACTGTGCGCTCACGGTGGCCACTGGCTCCGTGTATCGTTAGGGCTTTACGACACACTCAGTTACTGAGGCTTTGTAGCGTCGCGTGCCTTTCACCTTGGCAGGAAGGGTGGGCACCGCGGGAAATCGAACCCCGTACGTTTTGGTTTCCCAAACGCGTAACGGCCAATGCAAATGCGTTAGCCACTGTACTATCGGCGCCCCCACTGGCTCTTTTCGAGCTTATCAGGGAAGGAGAGGGTGGAGGAAGCAGCAGTCCGGCAGCAGCAATGCGGCGGGCGATCACAGCGCGAAAGGAGCACGGAGACCCGGCTTCTAGTAACGGCTCAGTATAGTCCAAAAGCTGTGACAGGGAACTAAGTGCAAAGTGGATTTAGTGACGTCACATCATCTTGGAAGATGGCAACATATCTGATAGAAGTCTACGGCATGCCATTGATGTTATGGCGAACCTTAAGTCCGTGCTGTGCTGTGCTTCAATAAAATCCTTTTGCCGAGCCATACCAATGAGCGGAAAGGTTAAGTTAACAGTCGAATAAACATGATAAAAAGACATGTCCCCTTCAAAACCGAGCTGGAATAGGTGCACCAGAACACTCCATATTGCTATTGTCTTGTTTTGGTGCACTTGTTTTTCATGTGGTGTTCACGTGATTAAATTCTGGGTCAATAATTGCGAATTGGGTTACATAACACGCGCTCCGGGCGCCCGGTTGGATACCTTTCGTTCGGGTGGGGGTCAATTTGACCAGCTGAGATCTCATAAACTAGGAGAGCTAGAGATAATAAATTCTCAGGTTGTGTTGGCTTGTATGTGAGCTCACTTGCGACAAAACTTGAGGCTCCTAAGACATGATCTACGGGTCAAAAAAGGTCAAACAAGGTCAAACTCCAGCTTAATGTTTGAAGTGCCCCCACATATTAGATACATGTTCTAAGTAAAAGTCATTGATGCTCATTTAGGGTCATTGATCTTGTTTGACCTTCCGCAGGTCATATTGACCAAAACCATATAAGACCACTTTGAGTTTTGCATTTGAATAAGCGTCAAAGACTACGTTAGGGCAGTGCGTTTCTAAAAATAAAGTGTTGACCTGGGTCACTTTAGGCCAGTTACCTATACTAGTCTTTAAGAAGTCCATAGAAGAAGTCCATAGATGAGCACCAGAAACTATCCTATGCAACAAGGCATAGAGTAATAAAACAGGCTGGTCTTGACCTTGAACAGACTTTTAAACCTGATCCTAGGTCAATGGAATTGGTTCATTCAGTTGTTGTGCTACCGAAAAGAGTGTCTCATAGATGAACGGCTTCGTCTAACACTCCATTGTTGCATCAGATTGAATGATTCCTTAGAGATTAACCGCTGAATCCATGACCTAACCTTGGACCTGCCGTAGGTTAGCGAAATTACAAGGTACATCATCATGTTTTACACCAAACGAGCCGTCACTCAATTGTCTGCAGCTATTCGAAATTTGGCGCGGCTACGCCTCGCCGTTCACAAATCATTTTGGAAAACTTTCGTCGGGGGTTTGAAATTGACCCCCGCCTGGGCGTGTGCTAATATGACAATGCATATAATGAACTACGATTTATGATCGTTCACGGGGACAGGCTGACTTCGCGTGGAGACCGGCTGCCCTCACGCGGAGACCGGCCGCAGTCGAGCGGAGGCCGGCTGCCCTCGCGCGGAGACCGGCTGCCCTCACGCGGAGACCGGCCGCAGTCGAGCGGAGGCCGGCTGCCCTCTCGCGGAGACCGGCTGCCCTCGCGCGCAGGCCGACTGCCCTCGCGTGGAGACCGGCTGCCCGCGTGCGGAGACTGGCCGCAATTGAACGGAGACCGGCTGCCCTCGCGTGGAGACAGGCTGCCCTCACGCGGAGACCGGCCGCAGTCGAGCGGAGACCGGCTGCCCTCGCGCGGGAAGTGGCTGCAGCCGAGCGGCCGCCGGCGGCTCAGTTGCCTGGGTCGACAACCTGCAGAGGCGCGGTGCATGGCGCCACGATGTGCACAGCGCCGCAGTGGCGCACCGAGACGCCGAGCCGGCGGCCTGCTCCATGCACGGGCGCCGCGCCGCTGGGGACACCGTCACCCGGACGAGCGCAGGTCAGCGCAGGTCAGGTCAGTGTGCCGTGTCGACGGTCGGCGGGAGGCGTGCGAGCGTGCTTAAGGTCTCGGTGAAGACAAAAACTCAGCCCTTTTTTCCGCATCCTCGCTTTTCCTATATCCTCGCGACGCCTCTATTGTTTAGGGTAAGCTACATGCAACAGTCATGAATGGGAAAGTGTTCCCTGATGGGGACCGCGCTCGAGCGCCGAGGACTCCATACTGCATAGAGGGGTTTCTGTGCGGGCTCATTCTCGACGGATGGGCCACCAGGTGCCTGCAGTCTTCTCCCACCGTTGTCCTCTTCTTGATCCTATTGTCCCGAAATGGTCATTGCTAACCGAAAAAGCTCTTATCCAAACCCAAACCCAAACAAAACAAAGCGGGAATTCCAGGATAGGGTTGTATGACTGTCGTTTTGGTCAGAAACGTGACATACCCTAAGTATTGGAATCGCTGTGGGTAAAGATATATAGTCAAATGTTTAATCCACTTACATCTGAGTCATTTTCATCGTCGCATGCCTGCGACGAGCCCGCCTGTTATTGCAAGTGAATCCTTCTATGCTGTGCACTGTAACTTACTATTTGCTCATGTAATCAGCTATCGTCACGGATGATCGTAAATGTGGTGCGCACAACTGTATTCGGCGGCGTGTAGGGATACGGATTATTGTGAAGAACATAGCCTATAATAGGGCGCTATGTTCTTCACGATAATCCTTTATACGTGAGTGACCAAATGCATTGTATTGTACACCAGCCCGTGATATTTTGGTGTCAGTCATGTGCACATTTTCCACGTACAAGCTGCAGTATAAGCGTAAGGACAGGGAGGCGGAGGGGGGGAGGGGGGCGTGAGTGCCGCGGCACCGTAACTTTCCAATGATGCTGAGCATTAAACGTGTGGCGACGCATTGGAAAAACCGAATTCAAAGCTGGTTTTTCCCCCGCCCCTTTCTGAGACTTTCTTTCTTTATACATTTCAGGCACTTCTTTTGGAGCTGAATCGCACTGGAACAAAGAATAATCACGAAGCATGCCCACTTACGGCACCAAACCGCTAGGTATGTCCAGAATGTGTGCTGGTGGTGCTATCCAGAATGTGTGCTGATGGTGTTGATGTCGCGTAAAGCGCCAGCATAATATGCTTGATCCACGACGATAGAGGAGCTGTACAAAGTTTGTTGTAACGACGAGGGGCGATCGCATACTTGGCTTGGAACTATCAGACTTTTGCAGTTTTATTTTTCAATTTTTGATCTGTTCTCATATTAAAGACGACGGTATGATCCTTGGGGGGATAAAGGTTTTCCCAAAGAGCAATAAAGTTTTACCAATGCTAGCGCCACAAGTGGGTGCCAATATTCTGTAGAATAAAGTGCATGGTTCACTTGGCTCATGTAACTTCAAGCTCACATGATATAACAAGTCATCAGCTGGAACATGCGTCAGTGCCACCGGTTGGAGTACCACAAATGGACGCAACAAATCCGTTTAGCTCGACACATCTGTTGATCAAGCATGGCTCCTGCTGGTAACCTGGTGTGGCCTCGTATTAAGTGATGGGCTCTTCCTGGCGGATGGTATACCAGGCGGCGAACTGCACCAAAGCAGCAAAAGAAGAAGGGATTTGCGAGTTGCTGTATGCAGACACAACATTTTGCTCAGCTTTGTCCGCTCATGATGTGATATCTGCTGAACTTACAGCGAACAAATTGAGTTTCAGAGTGTATCACATTGATCACCGGTCAGGTACTGACTATTCGGTAGCCTTGCCTTGCCGAGTTGGGCAGTTAATCGTGGAGCTCGGGCGGGGTGAAGTACTTTTTACCCCCTGGCGGCGCTAGCCAAACGCCCGAAGATGGATGGGTCCACGGTTTGCCCACGAGCACGCGTTTCCGTCCACACAACTGCAATTACGCCCACGTGTTGTCTCTCCTCATTCAGAAGTCGCAACTCTCGTGTTGCTGCAACACTCGGCCGTCGAGCGTTGGAGCTGGTTTCTGTTCGTGCTCTTTATTAATCGAATGGAGAAAACGTTTGGGATGCTATTGTAATGCCATAGGTAAACCATCCGGATGGAATTGGTTGCATGCCAAAGCGTAACACAGATGGTAGAGCCCTTACATAATTGCGTTTCTTCCTGCTGGAAATCGTATACATCTCTCATCAAAAGTTGCAAGGAAATGTGCGTGCTTATAAAGGTTAACATCTTCATACAATAGCTAATAGGAGCACAACAGCCGGTCCTGGCTGACTCGGTAAAAGCAATGTTTTTTTGTGTAATAGGTCAGAAATGACACCGCTGATTGCCTTACCCTTAGTATATGTAAGAGGCTTCCGCCAACGAGTTTAAAGTCTAATGAAATGTCCGATACGATTACTCAAATCAAGTTTGCATTACTTGCACATGGAAGGCTGCAAGTAGATGTCTCCATGATGAGACAACAAGGTATTGGACATCCCCAGTCTTGCCAGCTGCATTGAATGCTTAATCCTGCATTGCTGCATAAGATTCAGGACTTTGATTGGAATTCAATGATCGATTCCGCCACTCGTCAACCATTTAAGTGTTGTTTTCTTCAAGTGCACAGACGAATGATAAATACAGAGTTGGTAGGATTTTCACGGACCCCGTGCAAAGCCTTACGTTAAAATCCACCTCCATTGGCTGCCACCCGCCATCTGCCTTGTACTTTGCTGTGTGCGCCGTCTGCTGTTTGTTTTGCCCACTGCCCTCCACCCCCCCCCCCCCGCACCCCCCCCCCCCCCATTCCGCTGTTAACTCTCCTCCTTCTGCCATGTCCGCCGTCTGTGGGCCCCATGGTCCACCGCCTCCGCTGTCTGCCGGCCCCAGCGACCGCTGTCCACCGTCCACCGTGTCCGCCGTCTGTGGGTCCCATGGTCCACCACCTCCGCTGTCTGTCGGCCTCGGCGGCCGCTGTCCACCGTCCACCGTGTCCGCCGTCTGTGGGTCCCATGGTCCACCGCCTCCGCTGTCTGTCGGTCTCGGCGACCGCTGTCTACCGTCCGCTGTGTTTGCCGTCTGTGGTCCCATTGTCCACCGCCGGTCTTGGCGAACCGCTGTCCTCATCCGCCGTGTCCGCCGCAGGTTGTAGCCGAGCCGGTTAAACGATACCGGCTCCTGATCGCCGCGAGCTTCGTCATCGTGCTGGCTGCAGCCTCGCTGACGGCGATGATGGTGGTGGGCGGCCTTGAAGGGAGACCATATCGCCGCATGGCGCCTAAACAGCTCGAACCGAGCACCGGCATTACCGTGATGAAGTGAGTCTACCAACCTGAGCTTACAGTGCTTTTTTCCGAGAGCACTATGTGCTGACAACCAAAAACATTCATCCAAACCAAAGCCACCTGATTCACCAAAATCAGTTCGGATTTCAAAAGAACAAAAGTACCTACATGCCGATTCTTCTTCTCCAGGAAACAATCAGTAAGGCTTTTGGAAAAGAAGAAGATGTGCTAGGGTTGTGTTCATATTTCAAAAAAGGCATTTGACACTGTTAACATAAGCCTTCTACGCAAACGCACTAAGCATGGTACTCGAAGAAAACCTCATGAAATCATTTCTTCTTATCTGTCTGGCAGAACTCAGTGTGCAAAAATGAGGAATTATCTATCATCATTCAAAAACGTAACAATGGGGGCACCCCAAGCATCAATTATCGGCCCAGTTCTGTTCTTAATGTACATAAATGACTTGCCTAAATTAAGGGGTAACATGACTTTCCTCTCTTACGATGATCATACTGCGATAATTTTCAAAAAATTAAATGTATTGTGGAACTTCAAAACAATGTCAATACGCTTTTGCTTCTCATGACTTCCTGGTTTAGTGCCAATTTCTTTCCCTGAGCGTATCAAAAATTTGCACCGCACTAAACTACCCTTTCTTCGCATTTCCAAATA